TTTCATCCACAGGGTTATAAACCCATGGAACCGCCTACCCGCCAAAGTACTAGCTCTATCTATAAAGCCAACAAACTTTGTAAAATCTCTTTATGTATGTACCTTTACCTAAATAAAAATTATTATTATTATTATTATTATTATTATTATTATTATTATTATTATTATTATTATTATTATTATTATTATTATTATTATTATATAAAGCCATAACTACCTTTACCTTACTGGATAAGATTCATGACAAATAGGTGGACATTTAACAAAGCCACGGGCTTCCTATCCTCCTCTCAGGCCATTAGAGAGAGTGACCCTCATGTAAATTCAACTGTAGTTGTTTCCCGAAGGAGGTATGGCATTACATTATATTAAGGTCACTCAATACGAGACTGAGAGGACTTGTCCTTAAAGATACTGACAGAATCCTGGGATACTGAATCACAGGATATTGAAAAGTTGTTTCAGTATTCAGAATGGTTTTGTTAAAAAGGCTTTGTAAATTTGTGTAAATCCTACGGATATTTGTTGTCTAGGTCTCTTCTTTATATAAAAATATAAATTGAAAAGAAAATAATAATTAATTTTGTCGGGAGACATGTTGTCTGTGATATATATATATATATATAATATATGGGTCATATGTTAAATATGACCGAAAAGGTAAGATTAATAATTCTAACACGAATTTTCTCAATATTTCTTATGTTTCTTTTCACTGTCGATGGTAACTGAAAAATCAATTCTCCAAAAATTCATTTTTATTTTTGAATTTTGGAGAATTGATTTTTCAATTACCATCGACAGTGAAAAGAAACATAAGAAATATTGAGAAAAATCGTGTTAGAATTATTAATCTTACCTTTCCGGTCAACACCACTAGAGATGGTTGGTGTTGAACTGCCTGAAGTATATATAACCCTTGAAAATGAAGGAAAACGTCGTGCACCCAATTTGCTGCCCTGTGAGGTTAGGTGTTCCTTCCGTACAAGTCTGTGGAGACTGGTCAGTGGTGTAGGCTGTGGCCCCACACATACACACTACTCACCACGTCCAAGACCTGTGGTGTTGCAACACGCTACTTGAAGGTGTTAGGTTTGCATTAATCAGCTTGATCACTGCACCACCACCATCATCACTATGCTGTCATTATCATATTCCAGTGTCGCAATTTGTTCTTATAGTCACCACAGCCAAGCATTTCTCTGTCTCTCACGATCACTAATGTTTCACCACTACCACCATCATCGCTTCCACCACTACAGTCACCACCACCATCACCAGTATGACCACTACCACCATCATCGCTTCCACCACTACAGTCACCACCACCATCACCAGTATGACCACTACCACCACCACTATTACCACTATAAGCACCACCATTACCACCACCACGTTGCAACCCGTTCTCGCACTTTCTTACAGTCAATATTGACTTATTAAATACGTGCATATGTGACATACTAAACATACTAGTTTACCTTGAAAAGCTTCATAGAAAGCACCGACCTTACCTAACCTTCTTAGTATGTTAAGATAAGCATGTTATTGCTTCGTAATTACAAAGCAATAAGTTTTCTATGAAGCTTTGGTCGGTGTTTTCTATGAAGCTTTTCAAGGTAAACCTAGTATGTTTAGTATGTCACATATGCACGTATTTAATAAGTCAATATTGACTATACGAAAGTGCGAGAACGGGTTGCACCATTACCACTACAAGCACCACCATTACCACCACCACAAGCACCATCATCACCACCACCATCCCCAACACCGCTTCACCAACAGCCCCACCTTCCCCTCCTACAGACGGGTGGACGACTGAAGACTTGGTCTTCCTGTGGCGTGAGGGAGACCCCGTCCAGATCACTCAGAACCTCCACCTGCCTCGCTTCACCCTCGAGAAGTTCCTTACAGAGTATTGCAACAGCAAGACCAACACAGGTGAGCTTTCACGCGTACCGTTAATAGAATTGTAGCAGCAACAGGTGAGGTCTCACTCATATCGTTAACAGTATTGCAGCAGCAGCAACGGGTGAAGTCTCACTCATACTGTTAACAGTATTGCAGCAGCAACAGGTGAGGAGGTCTCATGGGTACCGTTAACAGTGTTGCAACAGGTGAGGAGGTCTCATGGATACCGTTAACAGTAGTGCAGCAGCAGCAACGGGTGAGGTCTCATGCATACCGTTAACAGTATTGCAGCAGCAACGGGTGAGGTCTCACTCATACCGTTAACAGTATTTGCAGCAGCAGCAGGTGAGGTCTCACTCATACCGTTAACAATGTTTGGAATAAGGCTTGTTCGTGAACTTTAATTTTTTTTATCTTTGATTACCTTACAATAAATTATCAGTTTTTATTTTAAATTCGTATTATGCGCCTGTTCACAAGGTTGTCAATATCCCAGAAATGCAGACTATATAATCTATGGCAACTCATCTCTTTAGATTCTTAGGAAATAATTTAAGCACAAAATCATCTGTAAAAGATTGTTCCCACTTACAAAATCTCTTCTACGTGCGATCGATCCCTCAATCGTATAATTGATCTACCCGTTGATCTGTGCTTTCGTGTAATGGAGGTTCTCTCTGGTGTGTCCTCACAGGAGCCTACTCGTGCCTAAAAGTGGACCTGCTGTTCAAACGGGAGTTCTCCTACTACTTGCTCACCATCTACATCCCCTGCTGCATGCTGGTGATCGTGTCGTGGGTCTCCTTCTGGCTGGATCAGAACGCTGTGCCTGCTAGGGTCTCTCTCGGGGTCACCACCCTCCTTACCATGGCCACTCAGACCTCCGGCATCAACCAATCGCTACCTCCTGTCTCATATACCAAGGTATTCCATTTGCTCACTCCTCTTTCCTTCTCTCCCTTCCCCATTTCACTCTCATCTCCTCGTTTTCCCTCTCCCTGCTCCTCCCACTCTCTCTTCTAGTACAAGCCACACCCAACAGAGGGTGACATTGTTCAATCTTCCAGGCCATCGACGTGTGGACAGGGGTGTGCCTGACCTTTGTCTTCGGGGCGCTGCTGGAGTTTGCGCTCGTCAACTACGCCTCCAGGTCAGACATCCATCGGGAGCAGATGAAGAAACAGCGAAGACAGTGGGAACTGGAGCATCAGGCAGCCCTCGAAGCTGAGCACCTCGACTCAGACGGCCCCACCACGTTTGCAATGGTAAGACAAGGTTGTTTGGCTGGCGGGGGGAGGAGGGAGTAAGGCTGCATAGGGAAGCAGATGAAATTACATGAATTACATTAAACCTGAGGTTCTTACTGGAAGAGATAGGCAATGGATACAGAGCATGTTTTAAGGGGGAGGGGATAGGTTAGGTGATGATTGCTGGACTTGGATGTCGTTGACTCCTTAAGGTAATTGGATAATCTTCAATGAACAGGAAGCAGTACAAATTAAACCTGAGCAGGTAAGAAAGAGTGAGTGAAATTTGAAAGAGGTGATATAGGAAGATAGGTGTTAAATTTGGCAAGCAAGTGATTTTCATCCTCTTGGCTGGAAATTATCTCTAGTGTTAGAGCCAAGTTTGACCCAGGAAGCCACTGAAGTCGTCCAGGGACCTCCCACAGGGACACTAACAATTCAAAGGTATGGGAAGATCTCATCAGGGACTACAGGAGGGAAACTTTACTCTAGGCCAAATAGTGAGCAATTTAATATATCTTTTATAAAAGATGCATTTATAGACCTTATTATATGTGAAAGAATTGATAATCCTAATGGTATTTCTTATTCATAAAGCTCTCTGGTTAAGATGTCTAACTTATACAAAATTATTAAACATCTGTTGACTGGTGCTGTAGGAGCAGCAAGCTTGTATTCCCTTGTGAGAGTTGTTAGTGCCACCTGTCTCAACTTGTGTGAGCTGTGTCTTGTGTTAAACTGTGTCCGTTAGGTTGGCAGTGCTTCGTCTCTCAGAAATTTACATTTTAATAATTTTGTTTTGCTAATTCCTTGTGTGGTAGCTCAACTTAGGTCACATAGCGCCATTCTCTGATGACAATAGATGGAAAGAGCCCTGCATGTCCTAGCATGTCCATATTGATTTATCCCGCCGCCTTGTTCTAAATGTAATTACTGCCGTGTCCATTTTGAGTACCTTTCCTCATTGTTCAAAATCCAAACAGTGGGTTCCTTAAGTCTCGAATCTACCCATGTCCTAACTACATGACTCGGTGCACCCATGTCTTAACAATACTTGTTCACATGTCAACTTTTTTCTGATGTATGCTGTTCTGCCTTTGTGTCCTTGTAGCCTATGCTTCTAATTATTTTCTTAGTGTCAGTATTGCAAAGATTAATAAAGTTAACAAAATTCATGACAAAAAACTAGTAATTATTGAAGTATTTATTTGCTAAAACATTTCATTCCTCTGTTGGACATCTACCTATCCCTTAACCTATGTTTGATCACCCCTATACTCCTTCGACTCCATCACCTTGCCCCGTACTCCTTTCACGTGCGTATTTAATCCAGATTTGTACCTCATGTATTCATTCTTTAACTGAAGATGTTCCATAGAGGAATGAAATTTTGTGGTAAATAAATTCTTCCATAATTACTAGTTTCTTTACCAAGAATTTTGTTAACTTTTTTGCTCTTTGTAATACTGACACTAACGAGAAGCATAGAAAGTTTATACTATATCTTCCTATCATTTGCAGCATTATCAATAGTAGGCAGGATATCAATATCTTACCTATTGCAGCAATGCTGTTATATTTTACCCAATACTGCATATGTAGGAAGGAATGCCTGATTTAAATATTACATTAGATTCAGAATTGAAAATTAAGCTCAAGTGAGTATTTTCAAGCCTTGTTGGCCAAAATAAGCATGGCAGCATTTTGCATTATTTTATTTTTAATGATCAATGATATACAGTATTATAATATGACCCTGTTACATTAGGCACGATATTTATAAGACAGTTGCCTAGTAGCTTGTAAACGCAGCCCATGTGTAGAGGAGCAGTAGCCTGGTATGCTCTAACATAGCACCTTGTATATAGAAAATTTTAGTCTAGTAACTTGTAGCTAAATCTCATATAGAGTAGCATACTAATTTGTAGTGTCATTCGCAGAAAAGAAACAGAATTCAAGTAACTTATAGAACTGTCCCATCTAGAAAGATTGTTAACCAAGCAACTTCTAGATATTTGTAGCCTATTTCCTATTACTGCCTCTATTCTAGGTACAGTACTGTATATGTAGACAACTTGACATTTTTTTATAGCCTGTAGCTCTGAACAAGAAGCTTTGTTTAAGTGGCCGGGACCTGTACGCTCTCAATCTTCCTCAAACACTCAATTTTTTGGTGTATAATCCACATGCTCAATGCTCCAACTTTTGTTAACGGATCATTGCTCATAAATGAACAGGAAAATAAAAATTGTTTTAAAAAGTGAAAATTGCAAAAATTCAAATTGCTTTTACGGGTCAAAAATTTCATCAACATTGATGGAAGTAACACACATTGGCATAGGGCAATGTATTTATATGATACATAACAAAATACAGCATAATTACATACTCATTATTATTTGTTATTATGAAATACTCATCAATGATAGAAAGGCACCAGCTGCATATCCAGTTTGTGGACCTTCCTTACTACTAGTCTTCTTCTTTGTGAGTCGGACAGGTGCTTGCATCTCTTTATTACTGCATTATCCCTCTGTTTCATTTTATAGGAGCTGTTCTCCTTATCATCAAAACCTTTTTCTTTTGTTTTTTTAATATTCACAAAATCCATTTCTTAATATATTGGGATGAAACTTTGATGATGCTTATGGCAAATAATTTGAGTTTTTTTTTAACATTTTCAAGTAATTTTCATATAATTTGAATATTTGTTGAAGTCCCAGCCCCTTAATCATAGTAAAACATTAGCCTAATACAGTATTATTAATTGGTAGCCCAGTGCCTTTACTGTCCCACCATAATATAGATTAGTGATCCTGTCATCTTTTAAATTATAGTGAAGTAGTTATAATTCAGCAGCCCAGCTAATAATAGTGTTATGTATATCGGCCACTAGCTAGGTGTCCACAGTAAAAGCCAAGTAGGCATCACTCAGTAACTAAGTAACCCCATTAGCCCAGTAGTACCAAATATTAGTGCCACCTTCCCCACTACCCCTAAAAGTGCCACCCCCTCCCCTCCCACCCTGGTAGCCCAGAGTAAAGAGTTTTGCATAGCTTAGTTTGAGTGGTGATGCTGATGTTAACAGAAGCCTCTGATGCGACAACATGGGGACGGTCTCTCCCTGGACAAGGCTCGGCAGTGTGAGATCCACATGCATCCCCAGCCTCCGCGTCGATGCTGCGGCTCCTGGCTCTCCAAGTTTCCCAGCAGGAGCAAAAGGATCGATGTTATCTCCAGGATCACCTTCCCACTCGTCTTCGCCCTCTTCAATGTTGTCTACTGGAGCACGTACCTCTTCCGCGAGGAGGAGGAGGCTCCGCCGCACCCTTAGGCAAACCAAAGCGAAGAGGATGCACCTGCCCTTCCCTCGGGTAAGAAAGAGGACAGTAGAACCTCCCGAGGCACCTGAGGGGGAAGGGTGTCTTCCAGGGAGGCACCCATCAAACCCTACGGCATGGGAGAGGAAATAAGAAGCATGTCCACAAGGATTTGACTTCAAGAGAACACCAGTAAGAAAGAAAAAGTTTCGACCAAGAAAGGTAAAAGTGACGGTTTCTCAAGGTACATGTATCTGTCCTCTTTGCCTGTGAATAGGGAATTGTGCGGCCTTTAATACCAAAGGGGAAGTCAGCCTGTCAAACGCTCACTTGCAATACTGTACTTATAACTCTCAACATAGCTTTTAATGTTTATAAACAAGGTGGAGAATAAATGTACTTTATACAGAGTTGATCCTTTATGGAGATATTTTAAAGTGCATAAAGGAATTCTGCTACATGAACATGTAGAGGAAGGGATGTGACATGCATATGTTACATAAACACCACGACACACACTCAGCTTCAAATGTTGTCAAACAAGAGAAAGTAAAACAGCTGTTAAGTGAGGCTGTTATATGTCAATAAACCTCCTTTCAAAGCTAAATCATTGTCTTGTACTACTGTTAAAATGAGACCTTTGTAAGACAATACAATCACAGCAGAAATTCTCAGACCAATGTGGAGGAAGCTTAGGAAGGGAAAATAACTTAAAAAATTAATACAAAAAATTACATTTGCTCACGAAAAAATAGCTCATTTCTAGGTAAACCCATATTCACAGGTTATAAATATATATTGAAGCTCATTACATGAGCCTTTGCATTACAATGTGTGGCAGCACAGTTAAACATGCTACTTTTTTACTGTACATCATTGTCTGGACTCTAGAGAAACATAGTTGTACAATGATCCATTCAACAGTTTTCAACACATGCTAAACCTATCCTGCACCAGAACATTGTCATGTTTATGGTGATCCAAGCTTTGACCAGCTTAGACGATGATAACCATGAAATTGACCCTTGACCATCAATACAGTGATGTACACCACTGTATTACTACTTGCTTGGTTTACACAACACTCAGGTCTTGGTTCATACATGAAACACTACATAATAAAGTGTCCCATTGCACACATCACTGGCACATCAAACACTTACATTATTCCATAGAAATATTGCAGTAAACCAATAAAAGTACAGTATCTCACTTAAAACAAACAACTTTCACAAAATTTTAAGCAAAAAATAGTTCCTGAGGTTCCTCAGCTTCCTCGGCTTCCTCAGCTTCCTCAGCTGGGCTGCGTCAAGAGTCACCAAGCACTCAGTGTCCACTTACCACACCTGTACATCTTTCCTCAATCGTGGGATGTTTGTTTATATTGTTTAAACAGTTTATGAGCTCCAAAGCACTATGAGGTTGTTTATAACAGTAATAACCTTGGGTTGGTTAGCTCCACGCTTGTAAAATATTTAATAAATATAGAGGATCGAAAAAAGGTGTACAGGCTCCATAAGTGGACAAGTAAATGCTTGGAAAATCCATGCCCTGACCTATGACACAAATTTCCATTTTCTAAGATGTTTTCGTTGAGGCTTAGAGTTTAAGGTCTAAAAGCGTCCACCTCCTGAGCACTCCTGCAATGATGGTTGAGTCTACAAAGGCTTAACATATTCTCGAGTGTGCTCCTTGCTTGTTTTGTAATACTTATGACTTGCATTCCTGGTCATACAAACTGTTACTCTTTTTAACAGGTGGTATGGGAATATGGGACGAATACAGAATCATGTAATGCCTTATTTATATGTGGAGAATATAAATGTGTGTGTGTGTATAATATATAATATATATATACTTATATATATATATATATATATATATATATATATATATATATATATATATATACTTATATATATAGATAGATATAATATATATAGATATATGATAGTGTCAGACCACGGAGGAAGAATTAAAACAGGAATTTCCTTAAGTACTTTCATATTTAATTATACATCTTCAGAAGGGTGATTTCCTTTTTCAATTCTTCCTCTGTGGTATGACACCGTCACATTTTTCATCACGTGTTAACTTTCGAGATTTACACTTTATATATATATATATATATATATATATATATATATATATATATATATATATATATATATATATATATATATATATATATATATATATATATATATATATATATATATATATATATATATATATATATATATATATATATATATATATATATATATATATATATATATATATATATATATATATATATATATAATGTCGTACCTAGTAGCCAGAACGCACTTCTCAACCTACTATGCAAGGCCCGATTTGCCTAATAAGCCAAGTTTTCCTGAATTAATATATTTTCTCTAATTTTTTTCTTATGAAATGATAAAGCTACCCATTTCATTATGTATGAGGTCAATTTTTTTTATTGGAGTTAGAATTAACGTAGATATATGACCAAACCTAACCAACCCTACCTAACCTAACCTAACCTATCTCTATAGGTTAGGTTAGGTGAGGTAGCCGAAAAAGTTAGGTTAGGTTAGGTAGGTTAGGTAGTCGAAAAACAATTAATTCATGAAAACTTTGCTTATTAGGCAAATTGGGCCTTGCATAGTAGGCTGAGAAGTGCGTTCTGGCTACTAGGTACGACATATATATATATATATATATATATATATATATATATATATATATATATATATATATATATATTATATATTTGTATATATTATATATTTGTATATATTATATATTTGTATATATTATATATTTGTATATATTATATATCTGTATATATTATATATCTGTATATATTATATATCTGTATATATTATATATCTGTATATATTATATATTTTGCTGGGTGCTGCATATCGTCTTCTTCGAGGACTGAGGGGTCCCTACAAACAACCAGAGGTGGTACCCCCCTTTATATATTTATATATATGTTATATATTGTATATAATATTATATATAATATATATTATACATATACAGTAGTACTGTTAGGAAATACTGAGCTTTGAGTGCATTGTGTAATTAATTTTAAATGGAATGATGCAGAAAACTACTTTTGCATAAGAAAAGTGGCGAGCGGATTTGTGCTTAAGAAAACAATTGCCAGGGTAATGTATAATGTTTCCTACGAGTGAAAGTCCCACACACACGGGGGGGATCGTGCCCTTAATGCACGAGTATTAACAGAAATATGAAAAAGCTTTATATATGAAGTTCCTTTTGTAATGTTGAGCTGTTAGGACGTATCAGAAACTTTGAGCTTCTGTGCTCAGCAAGGAACAGTTAAGAGTAATTATCAGTATCTGGTGGTGCTCAAACTTCAAGTGTCAGTGGTTGGGAGATACATATGGTCATGTGTTCTCTTGAAGGGATACATATGATTATATGTACTGTTGATGCAATACATATGGTTGAACTGTTGATGGGTTACATATAGTCATGTGTGTACTCTTGACGAAGTAGCAAGACAAACTTTCATATCAACCTTATACTGAAGGACTCATCAGGAAGACACGTTGGGTTCAGTGCAGGTGTTGTGTTGCACATGATGTCAACATTACCGAGCCGTGTGTAGGGGGGGGGGGGTCAATAAACACAGTCTTCTCTCTCTGAGCTTATCACACAGGGATGTTCTTGTTGTCTCATGCATGTGTTTACAAGGAAAATGTTCTCCATCTCCTACGTAAACATGTAAATTATTTGTGTATGTGTGTGAGGAGATTAATATTATATATATATATATATATATATATATATATATATATATATATATATATATATATATATATATATATATATATATATATATATATATATATATTATGTTGTACCTAGTAGCCAGAATGTCATACTCGGCCTACTATGCAAGGCCCAATTTGCCTAATAAGCCAAGTTTAACTGAATTTATATATTTTATGATTTTTTTTCTTATGAAATGATAAATCTGCCCATTTCATTATGTACAAGTTATTTTGCTTAAATTGGAGTTAAAACTAACGTAGATATATGACCGAACCTAACCAACCCTACATATCTAAACCTAACCTAAACTAACACAACTAGATCAGTAATTTATGTTCTTAATATAATATAATAATAATTCAAATAAACTAATTGGAAACAATTTATTGAAAATAAAAAAAATTACTCGGCCTATTAGGCAAATCGGTCCTTGCATAGTAGGCCGAGAAGTGCATTCTGGCTACTAGGTATGACATATATATTGTGTATGTGTGTGTGTGTGTGTATGAATATGTCTGTGCAGGTATGTGTAAGGGAATGTAGGTGTATCATAATACATTCAGTGCTATACCTTTCACTGCTTCCAGAATATGAATTAATTGTACACATTATGCACCTCTTATCACTGGAACATACCGAGCAGTGGCATCAAGTTGACATAAATGTGCGACATAATTCAGCAATACACTTTCAGGAAGGACTGCTCTTAAATGTCAAGGTCCTCAACACTTCATAACATAGAAAATATTATAAGCATTTTTGGTTCTAAAATCAGCATGAGGACAATAATAGTTCAGTACCTATTTTGGCAAAGTACCACTTCGATGATCAGATCAAATCTAGCTCACCTAAGCTCCACTGCAGTGCCAGCAGTGTGCGTGGCTACAGTGTCCACTGTGGAAAGAACTCTAGCTCTACCCAAAACAAACATTAATCACTGTGTGTGTGTGTGTGTGTGTGTAATTATCTGTGTGTGTGCAGGTGTCAGTCACCAGTCTCACCCCCATCATTCATCACTCTCCATAATCTTAATCTTTAATGTGTATTCCTCTTTATTGACATTTCAGTTTGTGTGTGTAAGCTTGTATTTATTCTGTCAGTATTAGTGGCATACAAATATGTATTTCTTGCTAGGAGTCATCCAATTTCCAGTTTGGGAAAATGATGTGATAGTTCTTAATTTATGCCAAAAGTGATGATATGATGTACAGTATAATTTATCCATGATGTATATTTTGTTCACTATAAATAATCATTATGTTGTTCCATGTGTTTTTTCAGTGTTGGATAATCAGTGTTGAGTTGTTCAATCCATCAGACATATAATAAATATACGCTTAAGCAACTCATACTACTGAACTTGGCTCATCTATAATGTATTATAGCAGATATACAATAGGCCTTTATTGTATTTTATGAAACCATGCCCTGGAACTTGAATGTGTAGTCACAAGTTTATGATGAATACCCTTCCACAGTAGCCCATCCAACACTGCTGCTTTGTACACCACATTACCCTTTCAGTGCCGCTGCCACTCTTGTTACACACCGTCTACGACACAACCTGTATTCTACCTGTAGCGGGTTTGTTTAAAACACCTTAATAGTATCTTAGTGCAATGTCTGTAAGGTTAAGATGTGTAGTTATTTTGGTTGGTTGGTTTGATTTTAGAACACTCTGAGGTAGCATCTAATCTGTCTAGTTCTAGTGTGTTTTAAGAGTTTCATAGGAATTTGAATTACTCCCATGTAAAAAGATGCAAAATTGTTAAGCTTCTGTTCACTTTATATTCACCTCTTTGTACAGTATGCTGTGTATAATACACTGTATATAGTACATTGTGCATAGAATGCTGTGTACAGTACTTTGTATAATATGCTGTGTACAGTACTCTTTGTATAATATGTTGTGTACAGTATATTATGAACTCTAGAGATCTGCTCAAATAAAACTTTGCATTTGTACAGTAATAAATTTGTTATCTAGAGCTCTTAAAGAGCTTCCAGTGTACGTAGATATAACCAAGAGTGAGGCAAACACATTACTTTGCCTCTAATCAACCTGTACTCCTACAAACAACATCACATATCGCTCGTATACGTCACATAAGGCCAAAAATTGTTGTACTAAATAATGGGAGCAGCTCGCAAAAGTGATGTACTGTCCCGTTTTTTGTTTTAGGTTCTCTGGTAGGTTAGGGCACTTTAAAATGGCCGTTTTCTTGATGTTGGGAAACCTTAGGATGGGCTGCTTTAATTACCTAACTACCACTGACTGCAAAACACATTACAGTATTTTTTGAACAAATGTATTCTATTTGGCAAACAAAAATTTCCAAATACAACTGTGTGAAGTAAATCATTCTAAATCAGCGAGCATTTCCAAAATAGACTTTGGCATCCTTCGGTGCTATAATAGAGAGTTCGTATGAAACAAATTGATGTTAAAAGTATTATTACTTGCATTCTTGTAAGAAAACCATAGGTATAGTAACATTATTTGTAGTTGTGGTTAAGGTCGTGAGGGTTGTTAGACGTGCAGTTTTGTTGTGGATATGAAAAGCAGATCATTCACACATCTCACTCTGTACAACTGGAGCTAATGTGAAACACAATCATCATGATTTGTTCTCTTTATATGAGAACTGGCTTTAGAGTGTACCATGAGTTCTAGATCTGATTGTACCATGGGTCCTAGATCTGAGTGTACCATGGGGTCCTAGATCAGAGTGTACCATGGGTCCTAGATCTGAGTGTATCATGGGTCCTAGATCTGAGTGTACCATGGGTCCTAGATCTGAGTGTATCATGGGTCCTAGATCTGAGTGTATCATGGGTCCTAGATCTGAGTGTACCATGGGTCCTAGATCTGAGTGTACCATGGGTCCTAGATCTGAGTGTACCATGGGTCCTAGCTGTGTATCATGAGGGCTAGATGTTAAGTATATCACAAAGATAAAACAAGAGTGTGTCACACAGCTTGTCTGAGTGTATCACACATGCTGGGTTCGACAGTTCCCCATCAGGTTAGATTAGGTATTTAGGTTCTGTTGAT